TCCAAACACCTCCCACCATTCCCTACCTTTAGCATTGGGGATTACATTTCAACATCAAATATGCGTGGGGGACAAATACCTATACTGTATCGTATACTATTTAACACTCACCAAATGCTTTCTTGGTATCTGTTTGAGTGCTTTCCTGGGATTCGTTTTTTTTTTTTTTCGGCTCTCACAACTCTTTGAGATAGGCACTATTATTATCCTCATAGTAACAATAAGGAAATTAAGTGTTAGAGAGTTAATTGTTTGTCAAAGATTACAGAGTCAGCTAGCAAGTGTCAAAACCTTTATTTGAATTTAATGTATCTGATTTCAGAGCCCACAGTTTTACTTATATGCTATTCATTCCATGTCAGACCATATAGACTTTTGGCATGTCATTTTGTAGGTATTACTACTCAACTTTCAACACTCCTTAGTAATTGACCTACACTCAATGTGTAGCTCCTAGTTTGCTTATTTTTTGCTTATGTGCTTTGGCAAAACAGGGAATTTAACAGCCAGTCCCTATTCAAGAGTCAGAAGAAAGCACCTAGGAAACAGAATCTTACAAAACAGACTGAATAACAACAACAACATAAACTAGAAAACTCAGTAAGAATGATTTTCACATTGTTCAGTATACATATTGATTTTCTTTTCAATCTGTTGACCATACTCGAAAAGTCTTCCAGAAACAAAAATTTATTTTAGGAATAAAGAAACTAAGGAACATTTATAATTTACTATGATTATAAACATATTTACAGCCTTTGGTCAGTTAAGATTAAATCCTTTCATTTCATTAGGTATGGAAGGATTTTCTGAGCATGCTATGGTATGGCAGAGAGATGAATTTGCATTTTGTATCATATTCTACTTTTATTAAAGTATCTAAACTAAAATGACCAAGTGCAAACTGAAAACGTTGGCATAGCAACTAAGTGCTTTGAAAGCAACTTCCTTAAAATTAAGTGTCAAGTAAGTTTTACATAATATTTTTTCCTAACTGTTTTTGTCCTATTTCTTGATAGCAGTACAGATATCCTTCTTTTATATTGTTTGTAAAGCACTTTCACTTTATACATTATCTCATTTTAGCTTCATTAGTACTCTATGACAAAAATCAGTGTGATTGTTAATTTATAACACTTATTGATGAGGAAACTGCAGCTAATAGAAATTTAGTAATTTTCCTAAAGTAATTGGTCCAGGTTGAAATATAAAGCTTTTTTTTTTTTTTTTTTCTGAGATAGCCTCTGTCAGACTGGAGTGCAGTGACATGATCTCTGCTCACCACAACCTCAGTCTCCCGGGATGAAGCAATTCTCCTGCCTCAGCCTCTGTAGTAGCTGGGATTACAGGCATGTGCCACCACACCTGACTAATCCTTGTATTTTTAGTAGAGGCGTGGTTTCACCATGTTGGTCAGGTTGGTCTCAAACTCCTGAGCTCAGGTAATCCTGCCTTGGCTTTCCAAAGTGCTGGGATTAAAGATGTGAGCCACCACACCCAGCTGAAACTTTTATATCTAAATTCTATATGTTTTAAACTTCACACAATTAAATTTCCTTTTGAAGTTTTTTAAAAAAACTTTATGTAAATTAAAATACTTAGCTGTTCACTGTGTTTTTTGTTTTGGCATTGTTTTCCTTAAATTAGCAAGTAAACAATATATAATAATGTCTACTCACAATGTTCAGAAGATTTTTTTATCTTTTCACAGACATCCTGAAAAGAATATTTCTTGGTTTATATGTTCTATACTGATATGTGAATGTTTTTGCAAGGGGGAAAGAAATGAAATAATTATACATAATGTGTTGTGTTCTTGAATAACTGATAAGTCTTCTAGCTGCCAAAGAAAAAATCCTGTGAAATAACTGTCATATAAATTATCTATTGTTCTCCCATGGGCTCAAGTTGCATAAATAGAGTGAAGCTAGATTCATTAAGAAATATGCTTTGCAAGTGTGGCCATTTTGAGTTTGTATTGAATATAGTTAAGCATGGTGGAAATGCTGCTGTTACAGGATTCACTATGATAAGTTCGGACTCATTTATTTAGTGCTATCTTTTTCATAAACTTAGTGAATTAGGTTTCTACATGACTGGTCATTTTAGAGCTTGCCTTGCATTTCCCTTTAATACTTGACATTTTGAATTTCAGCTCCTCAGGAAAAACACATGATCTTGGTCCTGGACCCAGTAGGCACCTTTGTCATCTAAATGGCCAGTCCTTCCATGGCAAGAGGTTTAGTGATTCACATAAGCTTTTAGTTCACTGAAATGTGTAGGAACTCTACGTGTAGGTTTTGGGAGGAACATTGTGTGAAAATTTGGGTCGCATATTGTTCTAAGGATATATCATTCCATTTTCTTTGTAATGAAATTCTAGATGTTACTAAAACAACAGTAACAACAAAATAACAAAAACTGTGGCAAGTTATTTAACAGTATTTTGTCTGTTTCTTTAAACAAACACCAGTAATAAGAAATCACTGCATCAAGGTGTTATTCATCTCCCAATTGTAGCTTTCTTTTACACACCAGATTTTCATGCTAACTTCTAATCTCCCAGCACAACACTCATACCTCACCCTTCAAACACTCTTGCCAATTATGGAAAATAGCCTTCTCTCTAGCTCAGAGTATTTAATAATCTAGTTTATGTTATAGGCAAGTTTTAAAGGCCACAAACTCTGTGGGAACAAATTATTTGAGACATCGCCTCATAATGGGCTTTCTGATCTTCTGTTGTTGTTGCTAAACCTATCCAATGTTTTATTAGTTCCCTTTATCAGAAACTGATACCTTAGTTCACAGTCTCTAACTTTCACACTCAACATAGTTCATTTGTCATTTTTTCCCTAAAATCATAGAATATGGGGGAATGCAGAGACAATGCAATAGTGTTTCTAATATCTCATTTAAAGGCAGATAAACAGCAGGTCTGATTTCAAATTTGTCTCTAACTTTTGCATTAGGTATAAGGTCTCTGAGAATTTTATTACAGAACTGTAACATGCAGACAAAGTAACACATTAATTTGTTGTCATCTACTAATGTGTTACTCATGCTAATGTTACTCAGTCCCGGACTCTATTTTGGTAATCATACTAAGATACTAAGGAACTCTTTATGTTCCTAATGAGGTCCAGGGTTAATAGAAAAGTTAGGAAACTCATATGGCACACAGTTTTATTCACATCACATTGCCTGCCCACCTGGTAGGACTTAGGCTAAGGTGGGCTTTAGGGTTGCACAAGGAGGCACTTTGAACTGCTAGATATATGTCACAAAACTCCTCTCCCATGGTGATGTTTACAAAACACCTTCATACCTCCTGCTATTTCCCTAACAACCTACAGCCAACATGACAAGCAGCTAGGGCATGCATTCTAAGGAGCACAGTAAGGAATAACATGTCCAACCTTGAAGATCTTATTTACCTCATGTATTTCTCCAACATGTTGCAATAAAAAGAAATCCACCAATAAGCACTGAAGGAATTTCAGATGAACCTGAATTTTAATTGACATCTTGGCACCAGTGATATGAACAGAATCTTCCCTCACGTACAGCGTTCATAAATCTGATGGTTAACATATATACATACATCAAGAGAGGAAGAGTGAAGATGAAATATTCTAAAGATAAAAGGGAAGGTAGCCTTAACTCATAAATTTTAAAAATTTTAGTCATATTACTATCTATTCATGGGAGGGGAAACAGTTTTCCCAAAGATGACTTGACTTGGTCATCCTGATGCTTAGTCAGAGAATCTAAAACATATCTTTTGATTCCAATTGAAAGCCTGTCAACAAATTACCTTTCAGATAAACTGTCTCTTTGTGAGTTTGGAATCTCTAATTGTGAGTTTAAGATGCTACATAAATTACATTTTTAATAACAATATAAGAAAGTGGTAGAGTAGAAAAGAGTGTGTCCTGTGTAATATAACTTTCTGAGGGTAAAGTTTAGTTTGGTGCAAAAGTAATTGCAGTTTTTGCCATTGAAACTAATGGTAGGCATGGAATATTATGCGGCAAAAAAAGGAATGAGTTCATGTCCTTTGCAGGGCTGGGGATGAAGCTGGAAGCCATCATCCTCAGCAAACTAGCACAGGAACAGAAAACCAAACACCACATGTTCTCACTCATAAGTAGAAGTTGAACAATGAGAACTTATGGACATAGGGAGGGGAACATCACACACTGGGGCCTGTGGGAGGGAGGAAGGTGAGGTGAGGAAGAGCATCAGGACAAATAGCCAATGTATGCAGGGCTTAAAACCTAGGAGACAGCTTGATAGGTACAGCAAAATACCATGGCACACGTATACCTGTGTAACAAACTTGCACTTTCTGCACAGGGACCCCAGAACTTAAGTAAAATTTAGATTAAATAAATAAATAGTAATGGTAGGGCCATTACTTTCATAATATAGTGGTGGGGCCTAGACAGTAAGCAAGGGGCCAACATGAGAGAGGTGAGTGGAAACTGAGAGCAATATGGTAGCATATTTCCCCAAAGTAGAAAGTTTTACACTGAAATTAAATATTTCGTTTACTTAACAATTTTCTCTAGGACTTCATTAGACATTCTCTAGAGTCTGAAATGTTTCTCCTATAGAATTGAGACACAGACTTGATATCTGTCTTCTTAAGCAAAAAATATTTTCTTACAGGTATTTTTTATTTTGGAACAGGAGACTAAAACCCCAGAAGAGAGATAATTCTAACATATGTATTTCGAACTGCCAACAGCTAATGTAGCCTGAGATTCTCAGAGTATATATGCCTCATGTATCATTTAGTAAGGATTACTATGCAATGAAACTTCACTATAAAATATGGAAAATATAGAAATAGTTATTCTCATTGTTGTTCAAAAAGCTTTTCTTTAGTCTTGTCACAAAAGATCACAGTTTGCATTTTTAGGTGGCGTTCATGTACCTTTCTTCATTGCAGATGGAGAGCATTTTATGAACTTCATATCTTCTTGTTTCAGTAGGGTCTTCATGGTTGTGACTATATCTCCACAGCCAAAGCAAAGCAGACATTTAAGGTAATTACTTAGATAATTAATGGGCAAACCTCCACTTTGCTTTCACTGTGGCACCTTGGCTTTCAATCAAATGAGGGAAGTTGGGCACTCACAAGTTAATATTTTACTTTTTATTTTTTCATGAGGTACTAAAACACTGTTTCTTCTTCTGTTTTTCCCATGATACTTTTTAAAATGGAAATCTGAGATTTATTGTGGGTGGCTAGAAGATAGTAACCTAGTAATATAATATTTGTCATTTTCTTAGTGTAATTTTTGTGCTGCAGGAAAGTTTAAAATGTTTGTGTGAACCTGGGCTTAGCTTCTTTATGCAATATCATCTTGGTCTTTGCTTTCAAATATTTGAAAGAAAAAACTTATAGAATAAAAACAAAATAACACATAATATCAGAATGTTTCAATTCTATTCCCATTTTAGTTTAACACAAAAGGAACCTCATGGACTTCCACCAAACTTTTGCTCCTGACCCACCATACCTAACTTCCAGATATCAGTCGTGTTTTAGCACTTCAGTATGATAAAAGTTAGAGAGGATGGAAATAGAATGGGACTTAATTTTGAAGTACTGAGGTTGCCATTGCACATGGGAAAACTGGCTCATTTTTAGTTTTTAAATATTAGTAATTATGTCTAGAAAACACAGCTTACTTGATAAAGTCTTGTCTGTTACACATAAATGCAAAATAATTATAAGAGAAACCCCATATTATAAACTTCATATTGTATAATAAATACAAAATAATTATAAGAAAAACCCCCATATTATAAATTCAAACTGGATGAACATATCTTGAAACTACATTGGGAATGTTTAGATTTCTAAAAGAGCACAGTTAAATATAGTTTATCATCTGTCATTCTGTCATTCATTCACCGAGTACATGAGGGGGTACTATTCAAAAGAACTGTTAGAAATCTTAAGGATGCAATTTCTCTGTAGGTTCTGTTTCCTTGTAAAGAAAATGCTTAATAATGTAAATATTCGTCATATACTACTAATTATTCTGACAGTTCAGTATAATTTAACTTATCTCCATTAATAATTGACAGAGAAAAGATGTGAGTTTCTGAAAATTTACTTCTAACATTTCTTCAACAGACCTGCAAATGTGTTATGTAAGATACAAGTATAACCGAGTTATACTTTTATTGTAGAGACTCATAAAGCAAGTTACTAGTAAATGGACATTAAATCTAAGTCTGTGGAGCTAATCTGATCATGACAGCCCTGACCCTCATTCATCACCAAAGTTGATTGAATCCCTCTTGCTGGCTGGTGTTAAGTTTTCCTTTTCCCTATTCAGGTGTCATTTGGTTAAAGAGGAAGATATTGGCTTATAGGTTTTCTTTCTTCAAAGAATATAAGTATCTGTGTTATTTTCACTACTTAACTTGCCAAAACTCTCTTTGTGTCTTATAAAAGTATGTTTTGTTTTTTAATTTTCATCAGTATCTTTTAGAAGGGTATGTGAATTGAACTAGAGAGACAGGAGTGGTATTTTCTAAAAACCCTAGGAATAATTTTTATTTTAGAAAAAATCTCCCAGAAAAAAAAAACACTGAGGTTAGTATGATTTCCATAGGCATCATTGATTTTATACTGGAGATCTGCAATGGAGCTGGCATGATACTTTTTGGAAGGCAGTTCAGGTCTCCATTTGGGGATGCTAAAAATCATGCAAAGTTCTCTTCTTTCCTTTTCTCTGCCTTCCATCTTTTCCCAAAGAAGATGAGTAGGAAGGAGGATAATTGGCTAAGTTTTGGCAGTCGCATCCCCATTTTGATTTGTTTTTCTATCAAATGCAGGTATAGAATGATAGGATGGGCATTATCCTACTTAGAGTTTAAGTGCAGTAAAATCAAGAGCAAAACATACTTTCTGCATTTCTCACATGCTGCAATGTCCAAAGAAAGAATGTGGAGCTGAGCTACATTGGTGGACTCTTTTTCAGTCCTAGAATAATCAGAGGGGCCTTTAGTGGGTGTAACCCTTTCCAGAGTCATCTCTCCTTCCACTCTTGAACTCAGAAAGTTTTAGGAGAGTGCTAAGAGGCTCAGGCTTTATTATACCTTGGCACCTAGGACTGAAACACCTGGAGGCCAGCGGAGGGCTACACAGTGCCAACCTCCTAATTCCTTCTCCTCCTAGAGGCTACAGTCTTCTGCCTGCAGTAGCATTTCATTCTCCCAGTATTCCCCAGAGTAAGCTCCATCCTCTGGCCCTTCTGACGTTTAGTGTGGAGGCTTGCCAAGCTATCTACATTCCTGAGTTTCATTACTCATGTCTAGGCCTGGTTTTCCCTGCCTAATTTCAAGCACTTTTTGATGGATGGGACTTAAGCTCCAATCATCTTTGCTCTTTATGTCCAATGTTATACCTCAATCTTAATCCCTCCTCTTTAGAACACCTTCAAGTCTTGCCAGATCTGTACAGGGCTGGAACTGGCCACTCTCCTTGGGGCTTATTTCTTATGAAATGTTTTCTCTCTGAAGCAAGACTGCTCTTTCTACTTGTTTTTGTTTGCATTTCTCAGATTATTTCATTTGATCATCATTTCGAAATGGTCTCCTTCCTGACCCCCCTTTCATAGCAGGTTATAAAAAAAAAGGTAGCATGGACACAGGGAGGGGAGCACTACACACTGGGGTCTGTTGGGGGGAATAGGGGAGGGACAGCGGGGGGTGGGGAGTTGGGGAGAGATAGCATGGGGAGAAATGCCAGATATAGGTGAAGGGGAGGAAGGCAGCAAATCACACTGCCACGTGTGTACCTATGCAACTATCTTGCATGTTCTTCACATGTACCCCAAAACCTAAAATGCAATAAAAAATGGTAGCAAACATCATTGTAAGCATTTAGATTCCAGCAATTTTCACGTAACCAAAGGCTAGTGAAGGAGGCATTGATGTACGTAAAGTGCTTCCTACCTGGCCTGTGCTTTCTAGACATTCCCAATTACAGACATCAGAGCTCTGTTTTAATGTGCAATTTTACATTGATCTCCAATTTTACTTACTCTGTTACAAGTGTATCTCTAAAATAACTGAGGACTCTCTCAAATTACAAGGTGTTAGAGCTACTGCAAATGAATTATCTTCAACCATGATCTCTTTCTGGTTTTCTCCACATATATATATATATATATATATATATATATATATTAATTGTGTTTTAGGTTTTGGGGTACATGTGAAGAAATTGCAAGATTGTTGCATGGGTACACACATGGCAATGTGGTTTGCTGCCTTCCTCCTCATCACCTATATCTGACATTTCTCCCCATGTTATTCCTCCCAACTCCCCACAGATCCCAGTATGTGATGCTCTCCTCCCTGTGTCCAGGTGTTCTCAGTGTTCAACACCTGCCTATGAGTGAGAACATGCAGTGTTTGATTTTCTGTTCTTGTGTCAGTTTGCTGAGAATGATGGTTTCTAGGTTCATCCATGTCCCTACAAAGGACATGAACTCATCGTTTTTTATGGCTGCCTAGTATTCTATGGTGTATATGTGCCACATTTTCCCTGTCCAGTCTATCATCGATGGGCAGTTGGGTTGGTTCCAAGTTTTGCTATTGTAAGCAGTGCTGCAATGAACATTCTGATATTCTTAAAGTGAAGGGCTTTCAAAACAAGATGTATGTTTCATTAAAATGTAGTTAGTGTGTCATTTTAAACAGGGCATTTTAAAAAGTAACAATTCCTAGATTTTTTTTTTTTGGTATCAAAGCACTTGACGATTAGGAGACCCAAACTGAATTGCGTGGGTGAGTACTAAAGGCAGTACTTGGTATGTTGACTTTAAGAACTGAGATCATGTTTGAGGAGATGTCAACTTAACATCAAAGGTGATGTAGAGATATTCCTTTCATTGATAGTTCATGCAATACTTTTCTTAGGGTTAGATTGGGGTTGAAGTTTCCAGTAGGGTTTTACCTATCATGGGTTTTTTTTTTTTCTGTTAATCTGGACTTCAAGAATCAAGAAAGGGTATTTGCAGAAAGTAAAGTCTGAGATGAGACTCAAAGAATAAGCATATGTTAGCTAAACAAAGTATAAGTGACAATGTTTCAACTAGAATCAGAAAGGAAACAGCATACAAAAACTCCCAGAAGTAACAGAGGAGGAGATGAGAAAGAATAAGACCTCATCAGAACTGTAGAAGTGCGGTTTTGAGAGTTGAGGTCAAGAGGAGGAGGGGCAATGAGAGGCTGAAACAGGATGCCAGGAGACACACAGAGCCAGCTCATGGAGAGCTACCTGCATGATGGAAGCTTTGACTTTCTCCTAAAGGCAATAAGGAGATTCTGAATAATTTTTAGATGCGGAGAAGCATGAGTAGATTGCATTTTAAATCACTCAGGCTGTAGTGCAGATGATGAATTGAAAATGTAAGTTGGAGGAATAACATTTTACCATTTTGGCTTGGAGAGGGTGTAGGTCAAGAGAGTGGCAGCTCAATCTGGGGACCTATCATTAAATTCCGGGTATATATATATATATATATATATATATATATATATATATATATAATCTGGGTGAGGCTTTCTATCTTGGTGTTTTGGTTATTTAAAATTGAAGCACCTTTACATTCGTCTTTGTCCCTTAAACAATAACAGAAAAACAACGGGTTGATTTTAACTTATTTAGATACATCTGTTTGGCCTGGAAGAATCAGCTGGGTTTCAAAATGTCAGAATTTCTGCTTGTTAATGAGTGGCTTCTTTGGTAAGAATTTTATATAGAATAAAATTGTGGCCTACTCATAGAAACTAAAAGAGAATGAGGAGAAATAGCATTTTAACATTTTACCACTGTAATGAGTTTTGTTTTGTTTTGTTTTTTAAACCTCTAGGTAATGTTAATTGATGAGAGTTAAATAAATTAATAAAAATGCACAGACTGGTGCTCCTATCAACAAGTTTTTAAAAGTTTGTTGCCCTAAGCTCTTATTCTCCAGATGTTATTCAGGTTCTCAGTGCCAGGTCTGCCTGGTGATTT